TTATTATTATTATTATTTTTTTATTTTTATTTTTATTGTTACTAACGTTCATTTACAGTACAGCTTTATAAAAAGTATTTTAGTAGTGTCGTTGTAGCGTAGGGAGTATTTTCATTTCTCTTGGCATATTTCAGCTCAATCCGGATGTTAGCGCATTCCAGCGAAAATTTGTCAATGAAGTACGTCGCTGTGATGAAATGGAGCGAAAATTAAGTAAGAAATGCAACTTTATTTTCGAAAAATTCTTACCACATTGATCAGTAACGCGTTGGAATTTTTCTCCTCGGTTTTTTAGTTTTTTCTAGCAAAACCATTTATTGATTATCATGCATTTTAGTAAGAAAATAATAGCAATTATTTTGTGTGAATTGTATAGTAAACGAATTTTTTTAGTAATGAAAATTATTAGTAATAAAAATAACTATTAGAATAATTGTATTAATAGAACAATTATTATTAGGAATAAAGATTTTTAGGTAATATTTTTTCTTTGCATAAAAAACTAATGCAGTACTGTAACCCTTTGAAAGAGTAGGAAATTCGTAATATTCACTGAAAAAGTAACACGTGCTTTAACACACCGTTCCGGGTTAAGTTACTGCTTTGAATCTATCTAAATTATATTTTTAATCACTGTTTATACGTCATTAATTTCCCATTGGTTTCCATTTTCCATTAATTTTCCATTAGTTTTTCAGGATTTCTGGAGCGTGAAATAAAGAAAGATTCAATACCAATGCTGGACACTGGTGAGAATCCGGATGCGCCACAGCCCAAAGAGATGATTGACCTGGAGGTGATCTTTGGTCTATATTCTGGCTGTGGAATTTGTTCAAATTTTCTTTTACGAAAGCAAAATGCCAGCTTTTTTTCTTTAAATTGGTACTTCTGATCAATTGTCTGCGGGTTTTTCTACAAGCATTAGGAAGTGCTGCTGATATGCCCGGATCTGTATTATCTAACTGCAGACCTACTTGTGACTACGCAGAATTCCAGCTTTCTAGCTTTTCAGATTTCCGAGTTAGCAAC